GATAACCCAACGGAAAGACTCAATCGTTTCATCAGGCATTAAAGCCTGTGCTGCAATTCGAGTTTTGTTATGATTATCAATTAAAACAAAGAGGCACAAAGGAAAATTATAATGATTTGTTTGTGCCGTATTGTCTTGAACTATTATGTCACTAAATCGTATCCATCTTTCACGCTGACCCGGGTCCATCCAAAAAATTCCACGAAGACGATTACTAATAGAATCGATTAAGGGTTCAATATACCAATTAGAGTCCTTTTCTCTATATTCATAGAGTTGTGATAAAAGCCTAGACGCATCATTTCCTTCCACCTTATGTTCTCGTCGTAATTGTGCCACAACATTGGCAAGATCACGTGTTAAAAAAAGCTGGTCAGGGAATTTAGCAGATATAAGAGACCTTATTGTCGACAAGTCGCACCGACCATTTACTACCAAGTGCCGAATTTCTTTATGACAATCATCAGAAAACCGGCAATTTACTGGGGCAAAAATATTTGTATCCGGTGAAAGTTGATGCTCAACATGGTGATCATTAAAACTAGTGATACGAATCATACTAGTTGCAGATGACAAGTTAACTTTCCAATCACAATTAATTTTTTTAGAGCCTTTATTATGTTGATTTTGTAAGTTATTAGTCTTTTTTGATTGATATGTTCCACCAAATTCATATTTATAATACAGGTTTGTTAAATGCCCATTATGATCAGTTTTACTACGTATCTTAATTGCAACAAATCCTTTTTGGTGGCCATATTGAGTAACATAATGTTCTGCAATTGGCCAGTTAGGAAAAGTATCATCAATAGCGAATACAATTGGTTTATTAATGTGAGGTAACGGACCATTAATCCCAACCAAATCTTGTCCTTTATGGACTTCATGCACTTCATCAAACGTTTCATCATGTGCTTCATCATACGCTTCACCATGTGCTTCATCATGCACTTCATCATGCGTTTCATCATGCGTTTCATCACGCTCTTCATCAGGAAATGTTTCTACTAACTCTTGAGATGATTCCAATAATTCTTGAGATGAGTCCATTAATTCTTGAGCAGAATCCAATAATTCTCGAGAGAAGTTCAAATCTAAAGCTTGACCAGAGAAAAGCTCCATAAGTCGTTATTGTTCAAAATCAAGAGATCAAGAAGAAATGTAAAAATAATAGCCAGAAAAAAGGCCAGAGAAAGCGTAAAAAAAATAATTATTAACACCTAAAGAATACAGGTAAATTAGTATCGTAAATGTTCTACATTTTCATGAATATAAACACTAGCAAACACTAATATTTATACCACTTTAAAAACCACCCAACACCTTAATTAGAAAAACTACACAGCACTTCAACTAAGAAACCACCTGGTGTCTTTATGAAGGTACAAAAAAAAGAAAGAAAACCCTGTTAACAAAAGAAGTTCAGTTGACATATTTCACCAAACACTTCTATAAAGCAAATGAGGCAAAAAAATTTACCTGACAACTTGATTAAAGCAAAAACCGATCGAACTTTTATAAAGGCAGAATAAAAAAAAGTCTTCTACGGTGAAAGAACCACTTAGCACTTTTATAAGGTCGAAGTGCAACTTGACACCTTTATAGTAGTAAAAAGAACCCTGGCTTATTCAGAAGAACCCGTTAAT